GAGTTTAGGCTAAAGTGAGCACTTTCCCCTACTTTGCGTCTTCCATTACACAGTTATTCATCATGTTTAATCATTCATTTACCTCTGACTGCTACTGTGCTCAGGGAGGACCAGTAGATTATTGATTTTTGACTTTTACCCTTTAGAAGCTGGGAAAACGGCTTTATGACTGCTTAATCAAAAGTGACATGCTATGGGTGAAATAAGAGGATGAGAAAAGAAGGTTGCAAACCTTGAAAAAAATGAAAGCTAAAGGATAGTTTGTTATGGTGGAATGGGATTAAGAACCTACAGAGATGATTATAGAAAATTAAAATAGATACCATCCATGAGATGAAGAAATTTGCCCAGTTGGAAAATATTTCCAAGAATAAGGAAAACTATACTGTAAATTTATATCTTCAGCTAGAAGAAAAATAAACAGGCCAAATTTGGAAGCATCTAATAATTAAATTCAACTGAATAAATGCACCGTCTCAAAACTCAAGGACCAAAACTGAATAAATTATATTGCACAGAAATCCAAAACAAATACAAGGAAGAATTTCTTCACAAAATCTTTGAATCCTATAATATTCAATACTATAAAATGTGATATTGATCACTAACCTGCATTATTTTAAAAGATACTGAATCCATTTTTGAGAGCAAGTCATAATGATTCAAAGATCTGTGCAACAAGCTTGCTTCAAAATACCAGGTAGAGGCAAACAATGGTGTGCTTTTGTGTGTAGGCATGTATGTGTATATGTATATGTATATGTAAGGACCTGCCTCTGTTTCTCTACCAAGAAAGCAGAACTCTTGAAATTAGCTAGCATCATTTCAAAAGAAACTTTTATTGGCAGGTACAGAAAGCAGGAAAACTAGGCAAGATCTGAGGACTTCCCGCCAAAATCAATAGATTAAACCCGCAAAACAATAACCCCACTCCAACTGTCTATCCAGACAGTTCAAACAGGCCAATCCACAGGTGACATCGAGCTGTGGGAAAGCAACCAATCAGGTGCCTCTCTCAAGGTTGTTAGGTCTTCTCTAGTTCCTCCCTGTGCACTGAGATAGGCAGATAGCTCCGAGACATTTCTTTCACACCCCATAGAGGATACATCAAAACAAATAGAGGAAATGGTCTACATGCACTACAAGCCCCTGGCCACCCCCCTGCCCCCTAGGAGAATGACAGAACCTGATTAACCTAAACCCAGAGAATATGCATGATCAATAATTGAGGGTTTTCTTCAAAGATAATTTTTATTAAATTTTGACATTTTACAAAAAACAAAACAATCTCCCCCCCAACCTCCCCAACCCTCCCATTCCCTCCCCCGACCTTCCCAGAGCTGGATATAGGCTTAATTAAAATTTCATCAAAAAATCTTAAAAAAATATATAAACCATAAATAAGTCTAACATTAGTTAAAAATCTAAATACATTAATTAGAAAAATTATAAAATAATTAACAATAGTATATATATAAACAAAACATGAATACAAAAAATAAATATTTAGAAAAGAGAAGAATGAAAAAAAGGAAAAAAGAAGAACAAAGAAAAAAAAATCAAAATATTCCATTTTAAATATAAATTGTTAAAAAACTAAATAATATTTTTATATCTAACTTATGTTGTATAAAATCTATCCATTTTTTCCATACCGCAACATACTTCTCTTGCGATTGATCCTTCAAAAAAGCCGAAATCTTTGCTATTTCCGCCAAATAAGAAACTTTAAGAAACCACTCTTGCAAAGTAGGCAAAGATTCCTTCTTCCAACATTGCCCTACTAACAACCTTGCGGCTGTAATTAAATTTAACATCAGTGTAGTCTCCTTAGTATCACAATCAATAATGATACCTAACAAAAACAATTGTGGGGTAAATTTTACCCTCCTTCTAATATAATTGAGGGTTTTGATAGTATATGTATGCATGTATGTATGTATAGACAGTCCTTAACTTATGACCACAATTGAGCCCAAAATTTCTGTTGTTAAGTGAGACAATTGTTACGTGAGTTTTGCCCCATTTTACGACCTTTCTTGACACAGTTGTTAAGTGAATCAATGCAGTTGATAAGTTAGTAACCCGATTGTTAAGTAAATCTGGCTTCTCCATTGATTTTGCTTGTCAAAAGGTTGCAAAAGGTAACCACATGACCTTGGGACACAGCAATGGTCCTAAGTATCAACCAGTTGCCAGGCATCTGAATTTTGATTACATGATCATGGGGATCCTATAAATGTTATAATGTGAAAAAATGTTCATAAGTCACTTTTTTCAGTGCTGCTGTAACTGTTCTAAGTCGAGGACTACCTGTATGTATGTATGTATGTATGTATGTATGTATGTATATGAATGTGTACACCTAATGTATATAACTATTTCTGCTTTTGAGCACATCAGCTTCTGACTGGCCACTGTGAGAAGTACAATGCTGGATTATATGGGGCTGATTGGCAGGATTATACTTAGATTCTTATGTAAAGACATCTCCAAAGATTATTTTTCTAGACAAACAAAAGGCAGTAAGTATTTATATCTATAGCCATCCAAATGTTATTATCAATATAGTCATTGGAAATATCTTTATATCTTTATATTTATTTCCTAGGAATAAAATGAGTAGTGTTACAGCAGTGTGATGTTCCAGTAATATATTACTAATGTAATTAGACTGCATAGGAGCAGTTTATGTGCAAAATGTGGCCATATGAAATACTGAATTCTGGCTGGGAGTTGAAATCTAACATAGAAGAAAGATAATAGGCTGGAAAACACAGTCCAATATCGTTTAATAATTCTATACCCTCTAAATGCTCAACAGCTGACAGTAGAAGATGTTATAGGAACTTATTTTTCATGTGAGATTTTTGGTTGTGATTTTTCCCCTGAAAATCTGGGAATTATGAATATGAGCTCCATTTTCAGGAAAAAAATATGGGTGGCCATAAAAATGTACACAATGGGTAAATAAATAAATATATTTTAGTTGTTAATACATATATGCAGTATTGCAATTTCTATAGTTATACTGTAAAATCCTCTGGACAAGCTTTAATTTTACAGACTGAAACTTCACCTGATCTTCTACAGATTTTTTAACTTTAAAGTAACACTGTAAAAAAAGAGTAAAAAACCCCCCAACATAGTAGAAAAATTACACTAGATGGAGCAAAGTGAAGTAAGGCTTGAGGTAATAAGCCTTCACTGATGCTGTTAACAATCAGGTGCTCATAGCCCAAAGTAATCACCTGTCAAATCATTGTTTATGCCAGAACAAGTCTAAAGGAGGAAATTCATGTTATTTGCCCTGGCCTACCCTAATGTCTCCTTCTAGAGATTAAAGCCAGACATTTTGGCAGAATCCACCTGCAAATTATACAACAGAAAAAAATACTTTTGACACGATTCCATATTCAAGAGCAAAGTAAGTAGAAGAAGGTATGTCAGCCTTTGTGGAAATGAAAATTTGGTTCTATAATGAAAAAGTTAAAAGTGCTTAGGAAATAATGCTGTTCAGAAGATTTTTAGGTTACTGAGCAATAAAATAATAAACATCCAAGTCAATTCATAGTTATACAGTAAGCATTTCTGCTAATGTATTACAAATTTGCAACAATAAAATGACTTAGATATAATACAGCCAGCTGATAGAAATGGCAAAATCCCCAGGGCAGATGGGCTCTGCCACTTCAGGCTGAAATTGGAAGGCACCTTTTTAAAACACTTTTCTTAATCTTACAAACATCAGAGATTCCATATGCCATTTTTCAAAGCAAAGTCTTCTCACAGCAGTTTAGAAAAATAAAACTCATAAATAGAAACATTACAGATGAAACACAAACTGAATTAAAACTCCAAACTCAATTGAGAACAACAACAGTTTAAAACCCAGCAAATAACCACCCCAACAAAGCAAAAACCAAAACACAAAATGATTCTATTTAAAGGGAGCTCTTGAGATGACCATGTTTTACATATGATTTTCCAAAAGAAACCAGAAGCAGGGTTACTGTTAAAAAAGACTCTATTGTTAGCGCCCACTATTCTGATGGCTCTTGTTTCTGGTCAGCAAGAGGAATCCTGAAGTCTTTAGTAAGACCTAACCTTGTTTGCATGTATTAGTTCACATAACCTGATTTTAAACAGTTTAGAATAGGGGTGACAACCTTGGCAACTGGCTGGGGAATTCTGGGAGTTGAAGTCCACAAATACTGAAGTTGTTAAGATTGGACATGCCTGGTTTAGAACATTAAATGTCAAAATTAAAGATGTACTAAAAATTAAAGAAGTACTAAAACTATGCCTGAATTTTCATAGGTTCAATTATCCAGCAAATAATGAGGAGCTCTTATCCACTGGTTGCCCATCCCTATTTTAACACTGGCTTTGGACACATGTTCAGAATTTCCACATCAGCCTTAGAAGTAACAAATAGAAAAGAGAAGCATTGGCATGACTCTTCATATTAAGCCATAAATAATGACAGTTAATAGCATAGGGGATGTATTAATAGCCACCAATAGGAATAAAAGCTCTTCCTTGAGGGTTTATTTCAGAAGAAAGGTACCATAATGCTGGACTTCCAAATTCCATCCAGTAGCAAAGAATACAAGTTAAAAGAATAGAATTCTGCTCTCTCCTGTGTCAATTCATTTAGGACTAATGGACTATCATTTTTCTTGCACAGTAAAATTCTGTGCTCCTAATGGGGATACACTCTCTCACATAGCTAATAAATAAGTACTAAGGGAAAGGCTAGTTAATAAGCCTATAGTTTCTTCACATGAGTGATCAACACATAAGAAGTTGTAATTTTATTTTTAAATGCAAAAGAGTGGGGGCCTAGAGACTATTTTTCAAAGACTAAATTAGTGTTACATATTCATATGCAATTCATATTATCAATTAATATGTAAATTAATCTGTACATTTTTTTTAAAAAAGGGACAATAGTACATTATCATATGACAATAACCAAAGTTGCATTTTGAACATACCTTCAACATATGGAGATTGTACTGGCTGGAGCTCCACACAGTTCAGTTCTGGGTCTTCTATTTGTCACTATTTTTTAATGATAACTCGTAGAGAGAATGTGGATCAAATTCCAGAGGACACAAAATTTGGTGGGATATCCAAAGACCTAAAATACAGATATGAAATTAAAAATGATCTTGATAAAATAAATCAGTTGGCTAAAAATAACAGAATTATACTTAATAGAAACAAGGACAAAATAGCAACCTAGAACTAAGAAGAAATTTCCTGACAGTTAGAACAATTAATTAGTGAAATGACTTGCCTCCAGAAGATGTGGATGCCCCAACACTGGAGGTTTTTAAGAAGAGATTGGATAATCATTTGTCTGAAATAGTATAGTGTTTCTTGCTTGAGCAAGGAGTTGGACTAGAAGACCTCCAAAGTCCCTTCCAACTTTGTTTATTTTGTTATTCTTCATTTAGGAAACAAAAATCAAACACTCAGTTATATTGACAATATCTAACTTCATAGTCTTATTTGTGCAAAAAAAAAAAACTTGGATAAGAGTTGATTGCAACCTGAGTATAAAATCAGTAATATGATGTGGCTACAAATTACAACTAAAATGTAAGTCTGGCACTAACAGAAGTATGATTTACAGATTTCTGATAATACAAAATTTTGTTTTATTTATTTTAGTCAGACTATACTTCAAATGCTATGTCATATTCTGTACCCCATATTTTAAGAAGATTTTGGAAATTGGAGTAGTGGCAGTACCAAGCAGTAAATGGGGGAGGAGAGGTCAAACACCTGACTGCTCCTGTATGGGATCCCAAAGGAATTGCCCCTCTCCCCGTCTTTTATAATATTTGCATGAAGATGCCAAAAAAACAGTGAAGTATCAACAGGTTGATGATATCAAGACATAGGAATTTGCCCAGGCTGAACAGAAGAAACTATGGATGTTGCACCTGATACCAGTTGTTAGAACCAAGGACTACAGTGTGGTGAAGCTGAATCCCAGCAAAATTAAGTGACTATTTAGCCAGAAACCACCAGGCTCCAGATTAACTCTAACTAGCCCAGATAAGGTTGCACATCCTCTGAAGGAGCACTTGCGTGATCTGAGGTTTTTTCTGTATTTGCAACCTCTGCTGGTTGCAAATACAGAAGAAACGTGGAGGTCATGACCAGGACAGCCTTTGTTCAGCTGCAGCTGGGTGTGCCAGATAATGTAGGATTCCTTGGCTGAAGTCACTCATGCCTTTATCAATTCATGTTTGAAATACTGCCATGTGCTAGAGCTGCAGCTGCCACCTCTGAAGACTACTTGAATACTGTAATTGGTGACAAAACTGGCAGCCTGCCTACTAATAAATGAGAGAAAGTTCAACAGATTATAATCCTCTGTTGCAGATTCCACATTAGTCATCAACAGATTTTGGATACAATTCAAAAGGCTGTTCTATGGGAATGGAAGATTTGTGTTCAACTAGGGGTTTTCCCAAGAGGGGGGAAAGAAAACGTATGGGATCTGAGACTGAAGAGAAAGTTGTTTTTCAGACTGAAAAATTCAGGTGATCATTATGTAATGAACCAGCTGCAGCCTTCCGTTATCAAGTGGAAAAAGTCTCCTCCAGTGTACCATTCATTCATTCATTCATTCCATTTCTACACTGCCCATCTCACCTCAGTTACTCTGAGTGGTTTACAATGAAAAAGGCTGTGAGAAAAAGATCATCAAGGCTCTGCTTTGTGTACCAAAATATATTAAGTCTAAACTGAAAATAGTTCACTTGCCAGAATTTTTATACATTTATATAATTTCAACTTAATAAATCTTGATAAAGAGAACTCTATTAGAGTTTGAAAAATAATCATTTTTGGTTACCATCAAATACTTGATAATGTCTGTTTGGAATACTTTGATTTGGATTATTGCACTGTCCTAAAAGGCCCCTTGCCTTTTAGATTAAACGATTCTAAGCTAACTTGCCAATACGTTCCTAAAAAGATGCATGGGTGTCCAACTGATTCACAATAATAGTTTTGGACTTAGGGTTACAAGCCCGCATCTAGATTTTAAAAGAATTAATTGAAGATGCTGCCAACTCCGCACTCTTTGTGGAATTATATTTCAACTTTGTAAATTTAAAAATGTCAATTTTTAAATAGATTTTATTAAAAATTTTAAACAGAACATAAAACACAAACTAATATAGAACAAAGACAAGAAAGAAAAAAAGAAAGACAAAAAGACAAAAAAATGCAGAAAGAAAAGGTACTATCTCTTACTCTTGTTTTGTAATCTTCATTTTTTCCTATTATATAATTTTCAAGGTTTCAAGGACATCCAAATCGGAAAACAGATTCAACAAGAAGACTAGATCTAAGCTTTATTGAGACAGTGACAGAATCTTGCAAATCCGAGTCTGCTTTTTCTCCCACCTCCCTCTTATACCCAGGGAATCACAGAGGATCCAGCCAGAAGATCCAGCCATCTCCTTTTCCAGGGCTCAAAAAATGCCCCCCCCCCTCTCCTTGTGTAATGGCTTCGAAATATTTCTTTCAAGGCCATTTCTCTACCAAATCAGTGTATTAAGCAGTATTAATCAGTGGAACAACCTGCCTCCAGAAGCTGTGAATGCTCCAACATTGGAAGTTATTAAGAAGAGACGGACAGCCATTTGTCTGAAATGGTATAGGGTTTCCTGCCTGAGTAGGGGGTTGGACTAGAAGACCTCCAAGGTCCATTCCAACATCATCATCATCATCATCATCATCATCATCATCATCATCATCATTTTGATCTGATACTAATTAATTTAAAGTATACCCTCTGTTTTACCCAAAAGCAAAGTATTGTCTTACAAATTATAGTAGTACACCAAATGCTACTATACTTAGTAGTATATAATATACTATATACTATAGTATAGCAGCATTATTTTGTATGTACTGATATCTTAGTGCAGTTGTTCTTAGCATTTCTCCTGCTTCATTAGATGATCCATTTTTTTTTTTTTTTTGCACTGAATTTGCCTGGTTTTCACAGCAAAACTGTCAAAGCATGAAGCAACAAATGGTTTTGTTTTTCACCCAGTATGTTGCAGAGCCTGAAGCAAGTTAGGCTGAGAGAAATCACAAGTCAATAATCTGTCTTCCGAATCTAATGGAGGAAGACAGGAGATGAGGACCTGGAGTTCTCTGATCCTAGTTTACCACTTTCATCACTCTTCTTACATCTAACTGGACTACAAGACCTACTTGCAAGTTTGGATTCTTAATAATGTTATTAAGCACGATCATAATAATCCTTATTATTTTATGATTTTGATTTTATATCAAATTTATGTTTTATTATAACTGTCTTGTTTTTATAATTTTAAATTGTAATGTTATATGATATTTGTAATGCAATAAGCCCTGAATCCCTGAGACCCAACTCTGCTGTAAACATATTATATGAATACATCATACCTATTTACATAACAATACATACATATATCACCCTGATAGGAATGTCCTACTTTCCAATTTAGTTGGAACCTAACAGCCACCAGGATATGAGGAATGTCAAATAGACCTATTTCAATGTAGTCAGTGGGAAAACTGCCCTTACCTAGAGGGGGAGTATGCCAGATGTCATAAACTTAAATCTGGAAATTTAAAATAGTTTAAAATAGTTTAAATTTAGTACGTGACACATGAGTAGGAAAGGGTAAACCAACTTAATGAGTGGCAGCATACTAAAGTATGTATCAAAGACACAGTTTGATTTTATTAATAAGAAAATTTTAAATTTTGATTAAGTAGTTGGGTAAAAGGTGCATAATCATTCAACCCAGATTAATTAGGATAAAAATACTAAGTTGTAATAAAAATCAGAAAAAACATTTTTTACCCAAGTCTTATCAGGCAAACAAAATTAATAATTTGGTAGCAGATTCAAAACAGACAAAAATGTACTTTTTGACACAAAAGATCAATGACTTTCAGTGACAACATTTTAGGATCAATATAATGGCAAAAAAAATTAGTTAATGGGCAAAAAGACAATTATACTTTAAATCATCTCATTCTTAATCAATTACATTTCCTGAATGTACAATTGAGCTGATTCATTAGCTGTCTATGAAATTATTCATATTTTTAAGTCCTGAAGTTTTAAATCTACAGTTAATTTTTATTTGCAGTTGAAAAGTTGCATTAAGATAGATAATGGGTGGAGAGCTTCCGGTGGGAGGCGACGGCGATGGCGGCTAGCTTTTAGCCGTCCAGCTGGGGAAGTGTCAGAGCCGCGGAGCGCAGCGCGCATCAGCTGGCCCGCGGCTCGGAAATCCCTTCCCGGGCAAAGGGAAGGGACAGAGAACGCAAGAGTAGAGGTAGAACCCCTGAACCCCCTCTGGATTTATTTCTAGAGGGGGTGAAAGGAGTGTTCCCTCGGAGCTCTTGCTGATCTCCGCCTCCCAGCTGTTTTTGCTTCCTAGGAAGCAAAAGAAACCGCCGCTTCTATCTCCGTGTTTACAGCATTTTGGTGAGTAATTTTTAAACGGACGGAGCAGTTTAAAGGATTTTTTGTTATATTTTAGGTGTTTATTTTTTTATCTTTTGATTTTTACTATTTTTCCTCCTTTTTTTTGTTATACTAGTGAAAGGATTTAAGATGGCGTTTTGAAACTGTCGGAGTTTTTTTTCCTTTCTCTTTTGTTTTACTTTCCCTTTCTAAGGACTGTTTTTTGCTTCTGCTTTTGATTTTGGTTTAGAATTTTTTCTTTTGAACTGTTTGCTCTTTTACTACTTATTCTTTGGATTTACTCTGGACTTTTAATGACTATAGTTTGTCTCTTTTTAAAAAATTTTTTTTTCTTTTTTTTCCTCCTCCCTTTTTGGCTGGAGGGGAAAGGGAAGTGACAATTGTGCTTTTTAAAATGGCTTCAAAGAGGCAGCAGCCTTCCTCAATACCCAAGGTTATTTCTTCTCCTATAACTTCCACTGCACAGCTCCAACAACAATCTAAACATGTACCACCGGCTCAGCCACCACCCTCCCCTCCTCTATCTGGACTTTCAGCACAAGAGGTTAGAGGCATAATGGGAGAGATTGTAGTTCAAATGAGAGAGGAAATGAATCAATTTGTTTCACAGATTAAATCAGAAA